ATTTATTCATTGCATAGATGAGGAAGTCAGGCACAGAGAGGTGAAGTGATCTGGCTAAGGCTACCCGGTTTGAACACTGTTCAGCCAGGGTCTCAACCACAATTCTCTTTTGTTTTTGAGGTAAATCAACTTTGCATCTTCATACATTTCATGATTTCTGCCTTCCTTTTTGTGCCCATATATTCCTGTCCCACTTGAAGCAACTTCACTTTCTCAGCCTTTATGACTGTTTTTTTTTTAAATTTCCATATGGTATTCAGAATAGACTCGAGAGACGAGGCAAAGCCACTCTGACACTCCTACTTGCTATGATCCTTCCTCTTCGTAACTTACAGAGCTTAATATTTGTACCACTCATTTGACATTCAACCACACACAATTTGGGGGACAAATTTTGCTTTATATTTCAACTCTCTGGGATGTTTATACACACTGGTTTCCCAAATGGATTGTAAGTTCTTAGAAGGCCAACCAAATTTGTGTATTTCTGCATGTCATTCATATACCTACAACACAGTTGTGTATCTAGGAGGTGTTCATTCAATGCTTGTTGAATGACTTTTGGCACAAGCTCCTTTAGCAGCTATTTGTCCATTACCAATTATGCCTGGCCACAAAAACTCTTAATAATAGTATTCTTCTTGTGTCGTCTCCTTTAACTACAATGTCTTCCCTCTTCTCTTCAGATTCACTTTTACTTATCTTCCTAAGCTTAGTTTACATGTCATATATCCAAAAATCTTCCATGACATCCACCTCTAGGCTGGCTTAAGTATCTATCCTCTGTATTCCCTCAACATCAAATCTATTCCTCTACATCACAATAGATTAAGGGGATATACTTCTTTATTTTATTTTATTTATTTTTGAGAGAGAGCACACAAGCATGAGCGGAGGTGAGGGTTAGAGGGAGAAGCAGATTCCCTGCTGAGCAGGGACTCCCCACGCCCGCCCCGTGATGCAGGACTGGATCCCAGGACACTGGGATCATGACCTGAGCTGAAGGCAGATGCATAACCAACTGAGCCACCCAGGTGCCGTAAGGGGATATACTTCTGGACCTATTTTTACATTTCTAGACTGCAAACTCCTTGAGGACAAGGGCTGTGTCTTTTTTAGTGTTGAGTTCGTAGTGCTAAGCACAATGCTAGTATATGAAATTGATCAATGAATATTGCTGAAGGAAGGGAAGGAAGGGAGGAAGGGAAGAAGGAAGGAAGGAAGGAAGTCAAAGCAATCCTAATATGTTTCTAACAGCCTGCATAATGAGAAGAGGTAAGATGCAGAATGTATCCATGGAAACAATATAAATATATAAATAGCCCTATCTTAGTTGACCAGAACAGTTTTATGAACATGAATTAGCTAAGGCCACAGTGCATCCTTATCAATTCAATTTAATTTTAAATACTGACAGTGTGCTAGCACTTGCCACCTAGAAAAATGATACTTTTAATCCCCAGCATCTTAGGCACTATGCCAATTTAGTTCTGATAATTGGGACTGCACCTCTGGTCAAACGACCTCAGCTCGATGCCATGAATGGTCTGCCTTTCAAACTCGTTCAGGGCCATTTGCCACCTTTGAGCTGCACTACTGTTCAGGATTGAAAGGACAGCAAGCATTTCTTCAACTTCTACTTCATAAGTTGGACACTTTCCAATTGTTAGTGGAGGGAGACAATTCTAGATGATTCTTCCAAGCATGAGGTATGATTGTCTCATTTAATATACTTACTGTGCTGACAGCTCTGGCCCAAAACACCTTCTCTTCTACTTGGGGACTGTCCATTGTTCTCTAGTGTATGATTAGCAGATTAGCTATCATGTAAGAAGCCAGGAAAATGAACTCCCAGTAAACCCTTCCAAAGCAAGAGTAATTCATTACCCAGCCTGATTTCCACTTAAAATGTACTTTAAGCACACTTCCAACTACAAACCCTAAATCACCCTGTGTTCACAAAGTCCATCATTTTTTATTTTATTGCATGGCGTTGGCGTGACATAATCCCTTGCAGAGCATCTTGGAGTGCTTTACAGATCAATAAATTACTTACCTGCACAGTTGAAGCAGCGTCTGCAAGGCCAGCATGGTCATTATGCAAGCAGCCTGTCCTCCAGGAAGCAAGCAAACTCTGTGGGTGCCAACGATGGGTGGGGGCAAGGGCCAGGCAAATGTATGGGTTGGGGGACTGGTGGTACAAGAAATGACTATTCCAGTTAAAATTCTGAATAAAATACATCAAGTTTAAATGATTTTAACACTAAGAGCATTTAGGGGTGCCTGGGTGGTTCAGTCGTTAAGCAGCTGTCTTCTGCTAAGGTCATGATCCCAGGGTCCTAGGATCAAGCCCCACATCAGGCTCCCTGCTCAGCGGGAAGCCTGCGTCTCCCTCTCCCATTCCCCCTGCTTGTGCTCCCTCTCTCGCTGTGTCTCTGTCAAATAAATAAATAAAAATTAAAAAAAAAAAAGACTAAGAGCATTTAAAAATTTGGATCCTTCAGACAGTCAGCAAATCAAGTGTCCAGTTATTAACTCATCAATTAAATTTCTGTTCTGGAAGATTCAATCTAGCTTTTAAACTGGTACAGCCATAAATCTGCAGTGTTATGTCTTAGGAGTCCTGGATCATAGAACCAATGGTCACTCTCCAGCCCTCACCACATTGACTCTCCTACCAAATAATTGTGAGAGTGCAGGTGTATGTGCAAACACACACAGACACACACACACACATACACACACTGCCTCACTGTCTGAAGATCGATACGGATTTAAATCTAAAAATGATTAAATGGTGTTTACTTTATGCAAGACACCCTATTCAAGACAGCAGAAAATAAAAAGAAGAGTAAGGCTCTTGCTCTGTAGCTTATATTCGGATACTTTATGGCATAGAAGAAGGGTGAGGCCGGGGTAACATAAACAAGTTTATTTTAAATGCCTTGGAGGAGGCTATGGGATCCCTCAGGAAAGAGAGGTATCTTTTTAGAGCTATCTGGAAGATGTTATGGAAGGGGTGGTAACTCAACTGGACCTTGAACGATTCCAATAGGTATACGTGGTTGGGGAGAAAAGCCTAAGTGACCAAAATCAGCAGCAAGGGCATGGGGATTAGGAACCAAAATTGCAACACATGCTTATTAGTGAGTGTTCTCAGTTGGCTGGAGCGTAGGAAAGGGGTGGGAGACAACATGCAAGAACGAAGGCCAGAAGAAGATACTGCCATGATACTCCCTTTTCATGGAGAAGAAAACTTAACACGATCAGAAGTTCAAGTTGAAGAAAGGCCATCACGGAAATTTCCAATCAATCTGATTTACACCTGAGGGTCATCCTCTGGCCTTGGGACAGGGAATAAGGTCGACGTTTAGGTTTCCTTGAATCTCCAGCAGGACAGTTGGCATTGTGTACTGGGTGGATGATGTGCCTTGGACTTGCACACTCTGATGGCTCAAATGGGGGCTTATTCAAGGGAAGGACCTCATATGAAGAACCCTAAGTGAGCTGGATGGAGGGGCCACTTAATTTGTAAAGAACTAAGGTGTCAAAACTAGTGTCCATGGGCTGAACTGATGCGTGTTAGTGATCCAGTCCTGATGTTGTTACGAACATGTAGCAGGCTGAAAAGTGGTTCCCTTGAATACCATTATAATTCCATTCTATAAATATTGGTTGGGCTTTTGCTGTGGCTATAAATATGAGTACATCATGGCTCAGGCTGTCAAAATGTTCTTGGTTAGTGGATGAGAGATGCTAAGCAAATAACCAAAACATAGTAGGATAAGTGCCAAGAATTACAGTCTGGGAGCTCAATAAATGACATCCTTGCTTTATACACCAATTGGCAGATAAGACAAATGAGCAGTCATACTTGAACTGAATATCACGTTCACTGGGGGTAAAGATGGTGCTAGAGAATTAGGCTTAGAAGTGCAGCAACAAGAAGCTTCTAATTTGGATCCCCAGGATGAGACAGGTGCACACAGGCAAGTGCTGGCTGTCTGTGGGGTCTACAGGTCCACGTGGGATGCTGTCCCTGTGAATCATATATGAGGTAGACCGCAACAGAATATAGGTTCCTAAGAGAAGCCTGGTTCCAAAACAAAAGACTGAAGGAAGCAGGGGTCCTACTCCCAATTTTACCAATTAGATACGACCCTCCCCTCCTTGGGGGATTAAATTTAGGGTGCAGAATGAAAAGAGACCAAATGTGTTATGCCTAACTGGTGTGCCCTCTGACTCCCCACCAGGTATGTGCAATGTACATCTGGGAACACAGATGAGAAGCAGCTGTAACTTAAATTTGTGGAGGACAGAGAGGAGTAGAGGTAGGGAAAGCTGCAACAACGTGGCATCTGATTTGGGCCTTAAAGGATCACTAGAAGTTTTGCAGGAAGGACATAAGGAACAATACAGATCCTGAATGTGTGACGGCCAGGAAGGACATGGCGGGTCAGGGGTAACAGGGAGGGTAAGGAAAGGGGGGATGACTGGGAATGTCAGTGGAAACACAGATTGATGCTTGATTCTGAACAGCGCAGTATGCAGGGCTGAGAAGCTTGAGTGTTTTCAGGTAGGCAATAGGGAGCACCTGGAGGTGTTTAGGCAGAGATATGATAAAATCAGAATTGCGTTATATAAAGAGGACTCTGAATGCAGTGTGGAGAATGACTTGCGGATGTGTGTCGGAGGTGGGTGGGGGTGAGAGTGGAGAAGGAAGCAGGTGGAGGCTAGGAGAACAGTTCTTGCAATATTGAGGTGGAATCCATTCCCATTCAGACTTCCTGACTCTGTGTTTAAATGGGAGGAAATAGAAGCTAAATTCAAGGTAAGATATTTTCTTTCTAGTTTAAGGTAATTCCTCTAATTTCTCATCATTTACTCCTACAGCCCCGATATTTCAGCCCCTGCATTGTTCTGCCAACTATCATTGTAAGACAACAAAGAAATGTTTTAACAAGATTTTTATTTCGCTTCTCTCTGTTTTGTTTCCACAGTATCTCCCAAAATTGTGGAGATTTCTTCAGATATCTCCATTAATGAAGGGAACAATATCAGCCTCACCTGCATAGCAACGGGTAGACCAGAGCCTACGGTTACCTGGAGACACATCTCCCCAAAAGGTAAGAGAGGAAATGGAAGAATTGTTGGCCATGGCTAGGCGGTCATGGCACTGGTGACTTTGTCCAAAGGGTCCTACATTTTTGATATCCTGATAACATTGTACTCATGGTTTTGCAGAAAATTTTGGTGTTCTCTGCAAGACAGGAATATATCTTGTAAAATTTCAGAAATCATATTTGAGGATCTCTTGAATCCTGGGGAAATGAATCCCAGTTGTTTCTGGGTGAAATGGTGGTGAGATGTCCCAGGTGAACTCCACTGATCCTCTTTGCTGATGGAAGACTCAGTGCTGGTGGCATTGTTCAGGTGGTTGTTGTAAGATACCGAAAACACAAACACACAATGATGAATGAAAGCTTTGAATGGCCATAGTCCGAAAAGGAAAATGTCCAAGTCTGCTTCTTCAGCATTGACAAATATCTGGTCCCTAGCCCATTAATTGCTTTGTGGTTTTGTTGTTGTTTTACTTTGATTAATCCTAGATAACAAATATGGAGCAATGTGTGACTAAATTGCAAAATTTGCTTTGTCTAAATGACTAGATGTTTTGGAGACCAGACCAAGTGTTGTTTTGTGCTTTCATGGATTGAACGTTAAACCTTTGGAATTTAAGGAGAGATGCCATTTATCATTAAGCTAGCTTTTATGCAAGGTGCATTAAATTATTTCATTTGTTTTTAAATATGTATTGACTGCTTGTAATAGTCCAGGCACTCTTTTGAGCCCTGAGGATGTAGCAATAAAGCAAAACATACAAGTTTCTGTTCTCATGAGCTTACGTCTCAGGAGACAAGTGACCAAAAGAAAAAAAATGAATATACAGTATAACAGGTGGGGAAAAGGGTGAGAAGATATAGCAGTTTACATGGACAAAAGAACCAGAGTTTGGTCGGGGAAGGTCTTTGAAAAGGTGACATTTGAGCAGAGATATGAATAAAGATGTTTCATTTCAGTGCTTATTGCTGGTTAATGTGAACTATATTTAAGTAAGTATGTGTAAGTGTGTGTGTGTGTGTGTGTGTGTATGCATGTGTGCATGAATGTATGTGTATTGCTGAGTACTGCAGGTTTAAGGATTCTAAAGGAACCATAGTAGTGGATATCTGCTTAGTGTTGCAGGTTGGGTCCCCAAAAGCTGACCCTGAGAACGCGATTGGGTGTGCAAGAAGTTTATTTGAGGAGCTCTTGGGATCAACTCCTGTGAAAGGGAAGGGAAGGAAGCAGGGTTGGGCCAAGGGAAAAGCTGAGTTGCATGAAGACCAGTGGAATGTCTCAGGTGAGGCTGTGGAGAGTTCTGGAGCTAGCATTCCCCTTCAGCAGTGCTCTCTGTTGAGGTGAGAGGCTGGTCTTTTACACCAGCAGAGCATTTAGTCATGGAATCTGGGCTGTCCCCTGAAGGATCATAACCTTGGGCCAGGGGTCTTTAGGTGAGACAATGCGCATAAGTGGCGGCCACCAGCAGCACATGATCCGCTGGAGCAGGCATCCTTCCCTCTTGAAGGTGGTAGAGCATCGCAGTGTCCACTCCACTTGGATCTTTAAATAAAAACCATTTAGGGCTATGAATGGGCCCTAATATCTAATTCCCTCTCCTAGATAGTGACAGATTTGCCCTGATGGAGGTTCTCAGAGAAGGCATGAAGTTTTCAGTGTGTTTGGCCTGAATTGCTGCGAGCTATCCCATGTCACCATTTCTGACGTTACCACTGTGAGCAGAGGGACTGGAGAGAGTACCTGCGAGAGAATCTGCGATTCTCTCAATTTGGAATGGCCTTACAATAGGCTGGCCCAAAACCTGGGAGGAGGCTTCTGCTGTGCATGGGACCATCCGAGAGAAGACATGGCCCTGGGGCACATCGGAAGGAGGAGCCATCAAAATGGGCAGACGTTCTAAGTCCACAGGCACACCATTCATCACTGCTTAATGCTGACACCCAGTGCCATTGGATGCCAGGGCTGTCTGTGCCTTTAGAATCTGAGGAACATTCACCATCCCAGGTAGTCCCACTTTGCCTTATGTCAAGAGGCACTGGGCCCTGCCCTCGTGCAGGTCTCTCTCTGTCTCTGTCAGGTATCTTCTCTTTTTCTTCTGGCTTTTCAGCTCTTTGTTCTTTTCTGGGTCTTTTTTCCCCCTTCTCCTCTGTACATCTTCTCCTTTTGTCTTGCTCTTTCATGCTTTGTCTTTTTATTCTTTACTTTCCCTTTCTCTCTCAGTGTCCTAAACATTTGTACGTTAATTTCTTTTCTTTCCACATTTCCTTTCCTCCCTGCCCCCAGCCCCCACCCTCTCTTCTCACAATTACTTCTGTCTCTCATCTGGCATTGGAGCCCTCTTCCTTTCATCTTGCTGAAGTTCACGCTGGCACATCTTAGAGTGCTTTTCCCCCTTTGTGGCCATCCAACAGGCTCATTTCCCTGGGGGACTTTACCTGAGCCTCTGCCAGATGCTTCCATTTTACTGGGGTTTTGGCTGCTATGGAAACAGAAGATGGATCAAGGGGAGAGGAGCAGGACAATCAGAATCTACCTGTGGATCAGAGTAATTTAGATGAACAGCCCTTTCCAGATCCCTGGTCCAGATTATCTATCCCAGATCCAAACTGATGAGACATGCCAAGCAGTAACTAATCACCTCGAACTCACCAGGGTGCTGTTTTTCCTGTGACTGATTATTTGGAGATCAGAGGTGTCATTGGGCTGTTGCCAGATCTGAACTGAAGCTGGAGACCTTAGCAGTCAGACCTTCATCTTTTTCCACTAAATATTTCCAAAAGGGTACTTATTTTAAATAAGTTGGGACAGGCTTGGGTTCTTTGGAGAAAAAAAGATATGACGCCTCTCAGTAAAGACTCCAGAGGCAGAGAGCTGTTGTCATCTTTTGTCCCTTCTGTGTGGGTAGATCATGGTTCAATCTGGGACCATTCTCACACACATACCCATTATAATTCCTGAATGGATAGCTGATGGAGGCTTAAGAACATTGGCAACACTGATGGCTTCATTGCATTTTCTCCCTCCAGACTGATCTAATTGTTTTGTACATTTCTGAAAAATCCTAGTTTCTTCCATCATAACTCATAGGGTGCTGCTTGCAATAAACTTATATAAACCTCTTTAAAATATGTATTTTTAGCCTTGACCACCTCTTACATGGAAAAGGAGAATAAGAGTATTAACCACCATTTTAGTAATGGTTCATACATTTGATACACAGGGAGTGACATCTGATTGGAAGAGGGTGGAGGGGCCTTGTCCATGAAACCATCTGCCTAGCACTTTACAACAGATGGGGAAAATGTCAGTTATCCACATCCACTGTCAACTGTCTATATCCAAGGTGGCCTCCCAAACCACAGCTCTGTGCTACCCTTCATCATGGGAGGTAGTTTCCTCTTATTATTGGCAATATGTCTCCCAGTTCCCCTCATGAACCTACCACTCCTAAGAGGTCAAGAAGAAAGTACATGAGTTTTATAAAGATACCTGCCCTCTCACTACACAGCTGTTTTGGAGTGTGCAGATGTTTCCACCTGAACAGGCCTTGGTCTTTTCAGAAAGAAGTGCCTTCATTTCCCTGTCTCACACGGAAATTCCACCTGGATCTGCATGAATGTTTGATTGGCCCGTTGCCAAACTCTGTATAAGTGCTAGCATCCTCCTGCAGGGGCCCAAGTGGCATCAGGGGCCCCTGTCTCCTCTAGATACATTCCCCGTTTATGGCTCTGTGCCTTGTCTCTTGTCCTCGTCTAGGCATGCAAGAATTTATTTTTGCACAGCCCTAGGCTCTAGTCTTCCTGTATCCAAAATAATACATTTAATGTCCTCTATTCCTCTGAGTCTTCCCTAAGTAAATAGAAATACCATCTATTTCAGATTATCCTAAAAGGTGCTTTTTAGGACCTCTCTCTTCATGGAAAAGTATTCTCAAAGCCCAATTTTTATGTCTCCAGTTGCTGTTGGATTGGAAGAGCTTTAGAGAGGAGGCTGAGATTCTTATATTGCCACACCCCAGGAACCCACCGTGAAACTCAGGTGAAGGCATCAGTCTGATGACTGATGTGTGGGTTCTTGTATATGTATGGAATCAGGGATCACTGAGCATCATAATGGAGCTGCCCTCTTGAGTGCACTCACCGACCTCCCCATCTCTCCCATCAAGCAAAACACTGAAAATAAAAACCTCACCAAGGCTTCTGAAAGAATACTTTGTACCCAGTTATTGGTTGAGGTCTCAGTAAGGTCCAGTGAGCTGTCCAGAGATGTCCCGATTTCTGATCCATGAGTTCTTTTGAGACTTATGTCTCTTTGAGGGCCTACATCTCACTTTGCTTCCTCACTTTCTAGCACAATGTCCAGCACCTAGAAAGTATTCAAGAAGTATTTTTTGATTCAGTAAATAAGCACTTACCTTTGCCAGTGCAAGAGAGGCAAGCCTGTTCTCCTGGTTCAAAGACTTCTTCCTGATCCTTGAGGTATTCTCCTCCACTTTGATGTTGCTGTTGAGACCTGTGTGTTTCCTCCTGAAACTCTGCTGGGGATTCTCCAGGACATTTTCTCTGGTCTTCACAGGATTGTCAAGCCTTCCCTGAAGTTCCCCTACTGGGGGACCTGCTGTGGCAGGGCTTGACTTTTCCTTGAAGGAGAGACTCCTTTTCAAGTACTCTTTTGAAAAAGTTGAGAAGGCTCACAAGTGACCTTGAAAGTGGGTTTTCTGTGAGCTCGCTTTTGCCCCCCTCACTTCCTCTCAGTCACTCTCCCGATGTGTGTGTTTCTCTCACCTCTTCTTCATCTGGCCTTTCTGGGGCTCTTGATCCTTTTGGTGTCTTACTTTTCCCAACCCTAATTGCACCTAAACCCTCAGCAGCTCCCAAAAGTTTCATAAAAGAATCCTGGATGTTGCCAGGGAAAGTTAGTTCCAACAGTATAGGAAAATCCACTGCTCCTCATGGGTTAAAAAAAAAATAAAAATACAAAGAGAGAAATAAGTACAAAAAAAGAG